GGGGTCCCCATCAGAGAGAAGAGCTCTGGAAGACAGCAGAGCGGGGGTCAGGCCTGGAGCTGCCTGCTTCCACTCTCTCTCACACACACACTCACTCACTCACTCACTAACACACACTCTCACACTCTCTCTCACACTCACACTCACACTCACACACACTCTCACTCGCTAACACACACACACACACTCACTCTCACACACACACAAACTCTCACTCTCACACACACACTCTCACTCACACACACACACTCTCACACACACACTCTCACACACACACTCTCACACACACACTCTCACTCACACACACACACACACTCTCACTCACACACACACACACACTCTCACTCACACACACACACACTCTCACTCACACACACACACACTCTCACTCACACACACACACTCTCACTCACACACACACACTTTCACTCACACACACACTCTCACTCACACACACACTCTCACTCACACACACACACACTCTCACTCACACACACACAAACTCTCACTCTCACACACTCACTCTCACTCACACACTCACAGACTCTCTCACACTCACTCACACACTCACTCTCACATACTCACACTCACTCACTCACACACACTCACACTCACACGCTCACTCACTCACACACTCTCTCACTCACACGCTCACTCACTCTCTCTCACACGCTCACTCACTCACACACTCTCACTCACACACTCTCACTCACACACACTCACACTCACACGCTCACACTCACACGCTCACTCTCACACACTCACTCACTCACTCACTCTCACACTCTCACACTCACACGCTCACTCACTCTCACACTCTCACACTCACACGCTCTCACTCACACACTCTCTCTCTCACTCTCACTCACACACACTCTCTCACTCTCTCACTCTCTCACACACTCGCCAAGAGGGAGCAGGTCTGTCGCTGCTCGCCTGCGTCCGGGAGCTGTGAGGAAGACAAGCAGCCTAGAAACCCCCCGCGGGCAGCGGGTGAGAGCAGAGGAGTGGGCTGCCACCTGCACGCGTGCACTGGGATTCTCCTCTCTCGGGACAATCACAGCGCACCACAGAACACACACGCGGAATAAAAACACGTGGGGCTGCAAGGGGTCACAGCTCAGTCCGCCAAAGGTTGGAGCGGAGTTTAATTTTGATGAAAATGGCCACTTCCGGGAGAACACTGAAGGAGACGCACACACAGAGCCCTGAATGTCAACAGGGTTACAGAGGGCTTCATAGTCCCTCGAGTCCAGTCAGCTCACCCTGAGTTACTGCCAAGAATGGGTGTCCATGAGTGACCCTTACCTGTCGTGTTGCCATCATAGAAGAACCCCCCAGTGTTTTGGCCCTGTGGCTACTGCGGATGGCATTTTCACTGCCCTCCAGCTAATTCTGAGGGGGCACGTACAACAGCAGGTGACCGTTTAAAACGCACTCAGGCCAGGCTAGGAGTGGGGACCCCAGGCCGGAGTCAGGTTGCTACAGCGGACCATGCAGACTCCACGGAGAAGGAGGTGCGAGATGCGAGGCGGCGGCGCAGAACCCACAGGCATGAAAATAAAACGTCCCAATCGACACAGCTACAGATATGCGCTGAAGGAACTGAGATTGTAAACGACAGGAATTCAGCCCGAGACGATCCGCGGCAGGCTTTCCCAAAATAACCGCGGTCCGCACGTCGGCTTGGTCTCGATTTCTCTCGGCGCCGCCTGCCGGGTCACACGGCGCAAGCGGCGGTACCACACGGCCGGCGCCCAAGGCGAGCACCGCGGCGGGCCGGGGAGAAAGGTGAAAGGATTTAAGCCGAAAAAGGAAACCGGGATCTGCGCTCCGGGGGGAGACCACGCCGGCGACTAGCTGCGCGTCTCGGGGCTGTTTCGGACTGGGAGGTCGGCGGCGTCAACACGTTTCTCAGAGACCGTGAGAAAACACTTGTCCGCAACTGTCTAATATTTCAAACTAGACAATTTTATATATACATATAAAAATTAATATTCTGAAAGTGCCGTCTTCTCTGGCTCGGTTGGCTATGGTCTTCTACACGCGATAAGCTGCTTGAAAGAGCGTCGTGTTCCGACTGTAGGAGTGACACGGTATTTGCACCGTGCCCTGTCGAAACCTCCGGGGGCTGTTGAAATACGTGCGCTCCGCTCTTCTCTCTTCGGTTTCGTTTCCGCCTGTAGGACCTGCTGCGCTGAACAACCGCGGTGTCTGGACCGAACCCACACAGCGCGTTTTTACACACGAATCGCTCCTTTTTACAAATGGGGTCCCGACCGTGTTATTTTCGGGTTCGAGAAAACACTACTGCGAGCCGAAATAACCTCATCCCGATGAACACCGGGAACTGCCTCATAGTACTTTACTAGAAAATTAAAAAACGCAGTCCACACATCGACATGCTGCAAAAGTAGATGATTGGTACTGTGTTATCGCAACAACGTGTCGCGCGGGTGAAGGCGTTACAGATGGCTGGGTGTGAATTATTTTCGCTTGAATTTCCTCTAAACTACAAGGTGCTCTTCAGTTTTGGAAGCCATAACAGACTACCTTGTGGAGCTGTAATCAATATAGCGTCGGTGTGTGCGTCTATGGTTCCCATGAAGAGCAGGCTACGTGTTGGGTGTCGCACGGCTCGGCGTGCGCAGTGCGATGTCAGCTCACCATTGCCGAGGTGTTCCTGTCCCTCCGCCAGGCAGAGAGCCAGACAGAAAAGCGCAAGTCCTGTCATCCTGCGGGCTGTCTTGGGATTCAGTGAGCGGGGAGCTCGGTGAGGACCCGAGCTTTTATAAGTCCCGGAGCTCGGGAAGCAGGGGGCGTGCCTGCCCCCTCGTCTGCCCCTGCTTGGCGGCCGGGCTGTCCCGGAGATCCTCCCTGGCCGGACCGGGGTCAGAACCGAACAGACCCCTCCCCGGGCGGCCCAGCAGAAGTCTGGACCCGCGTATTTACGCTTGGAGACCTGTCAACCCTCTGTCTCACGAAGACCCAGACGAAAACAACCTGTTAATAGAGCACATAGAACTAGGAGGCTAGGAGAAAAATACTAGGAGACGTGTGAAGGTCCCGCACGCAGCTCCCAGATCTTGAACACAGCGGAGCGGCGAGCTGCCTGTGCAATCGGACATTATTGATTGGACGCGACCTCATGGGTCACTCGAACCTCCTGTGGGGTTTCTGATGGGTTCTTGGACTAACGTGGATTTTCCAGCGAGTAGTAAAAACCAGCAATTTTCTTGACTGTCCTCCGTTGTCTTACATTTAACAACAACAACAACAGCATTAATAATTATTAATAATAATCCCTGGTCCCAGGTCTAGTGGGACACCATGAAATCATCGGATGACAAAGACTCCGAGTGCGTGTGAGTTTCGATGAATGAGCGAGTCCAGAGAGGCGGATGACCTCTGGACTACCTCTCCGGCGGTTAAAAAGGAAATTCTTCATCGGCTAATTGCAGATCGAGGCATAAAACCCGAGGGACCGTTCACCCAAATACTACCATTATTTGACATAATTGTCGGGTCTGAACGAGTTAGCCTGGAAGGGAGTTCCTTCTCATATAACGACTATTATTCCTCGTAGCAGAATTGAAGAATTTGCCTTAATAAAGGTTTTCTGTGCGCCAATACAATATTCCAGTGTGACTAGAATTGATAAAAACCCGGCTGCCCCACCAGCTGGCGAGCGTGCGCTACAGGCGACGGGCCAGACAACGGGAAACACTGACCCCCTGCGGCGACACCGGAGCAGCGCACCTTTTATTTTATTTTCTCGAAACCTGATAAAAACCACAGATGTAAAATCATGGCCCCCCGAGTCGAATCTACACGGTTTGAAGTAAAATAAATAATATATATTTTTTAAATGGGACCCCATTTATTATTGTATGTTATGTAGAAACAATAAAAAGTACAAAATGATAGAATCTCGGAATTTAGGAACCCGTGGTTATCGTCGTATAATATATTAGAAGTCTATATAGATAATATAGACTACACAACAGGCTGGCGTATTGATTGGCAACTTCATATAGTCTAAGTTATAACTTACGAATTTAAACGATTGAACACACCTTCGGAGAAAAAAAAGACAATATCAACAACACTTCTTTCGTAGAAAAAAAAACTGCATTATCTCTGCAGCAAACTGTCTTTTACAGGATCCGTCCGCTCGCCCAGCGACAGGCGTTCCCTGTCTCGGCAAGGGCTACGAGAGGGAAGGAAATTGCTCGCCGGTTCTAAAACATGTGATCGCACACGACCCAGATGGGACTCGAACCCACAATCCCCAGCTCCGGAGGCTGATGCCTTATCCATTAGGCCACTGGGTCACCACGTTGTGCGCAGAGCCAGGCTCGCCTCTTAGGCTGCAGGCATGCACAGCCCCTGCGTGCGTCAGCGGAAGCGCAGGCGAAGCACGGCACGGCTTCTCATTTCTGTCGCAAGTGTGCGCCACACGGGCACGCTCTTGTTCGCACGAAGCGAAAGCGTCAGGGAAGAGTCGTGTGTTTGAACATTTTAAAAACACAGACGTGCAGGCGTATTCGCGGACTTACTGTGTTTCGAAGTGTAAAAGCATGAAATCGGTGCGGACCCTAATCCTTATTTACCCGCGTTTACACTGTTGTCATAATGTGTATTTGTATCGATATATGTACCCCCGACGATGTTTTTTGATATGTGATATGTACTCTTGTTTGTACTGTATGTTCTTTTGTTGTTTAAATAAAGTAAAAAAAAACACTGAGCTGCGAGCCAGCCACGCCAAAGCAAGGAAGCCCCGCCCCCTCCCCCAGCGCGAGTCCCAGGGATTCCCTCTCGCGAGACGCGGGCGCGTTGCCCCTGGCGACTCGCCGCCCCCGCCCTCCCCGCATCATGTAATTTTTCAAAACCGGCCAATGGGGGGGCGCTTTCGCTCGAACGGGCCAATCAGAGCCGCGCACGGCTGGCGATTTAAAGGGCGGCAGCGGGCGTGCGCAGCTCACTGGTTTCCGAGTTGGGAATTGGTAAGCCGTGTCTCTCTTACCCCCCCACCGGTAGATTCGCGCAAGTAGGGAAGGAGTAGATATTTGTCATTTTAATTTTAAAAAAATGCGTACTGAAGGTGATCACGTCCAGTTCCTAAAGCCGTTAGCTCTGGTCTTTCCGGGCTGTTGACGTGCTGAGTTAGGAGTCCTGTCAGTGCTACCGCACCATGTGTGCCCGGAAAAAAAAAGAAGAAAATCGATCCTCGAAAGTTTGATTTAAAAAAAAAAATCTGGTATTTGAAACTGCCTTATTTCCCTTTTAGGTTTCTGTCTAGGTCGGTCGGTCTTCCACGGCTCCCGTCTCTTGCTATCGTCCGTGCTCGGCTGAGGGGAGGAGAAGAAAGCTACAACATGTCTGCGGGAAACGAGAACACGGTTCGCCTGAGCAAGTTCAAGAACAAGGGGCGAGACGCGACGGTAAGACCCCGACCGGCCGCCCGCTGACCTTTCCTGACCAGTGGCTGGGCTGGGCTGGGCAGGGCTGGGCTGGGGGGGTCTCGGAGGGGCGCCGGTGTGACCCGCTCTGCCGTCCGCAGGAGCTGCGCAGGCGGCGGATCGAGGTGAACGTCGAGCTCCGGAAGGCGAAGAAGGACGAGCAGATCCTCAAGCGGCGCAACGTCAGCAGCTTCCCGGACGAGGCCACCTCGCCGCTGCAGGAGAAGAACCAGAACCGACAGGTACCGGTACCGGCCCGGTCCCGGCTCCTCGGGAGGAGGGGAAGGGGTGGGGTGGGAGAGTTTCTCTCGAAACGCCAGGGCTCTCGGGTCCCGTGGCTGTCGCTGCGGTTTCCTTAATGAACGTAAAAACGTGCGGTCGCGCTTGGCGTGGGTCGGCGCCGCTCATGGCTGCCGGTCTCGGCAGGTTCTGCCGCAGGAAGACCTAACTGTCCTTCTTTAGAGGGGTTGGTGCCGCCCCGTTTTGTCTTTAGGGCAGCTGCCCCTAGGGCGGTCACCTTCCCTGCCCTGGGCCTCTCGCTGCGGGGGTGGGGGTGGTTGGGTCTTACCGCTGCCCGTCCGGGCCCGGAACCGCCCGGGTTTCGGACGGGTTTGTAGCTGGCTCTCTCCCCGTGTGAGCGCGCTGGTGCCTTGACGTGTTTTGAGCCCAGAGCCACCGACTGGGTCAGCCGCCTAAAACCCTGTTTTCTTGCTGTAGGGGGCGCCACACTGGACGGTGGAGGAGATCCTGAATGGCGTGAACAGCAACAACCCCGACCTCCAGCTGCAGGCCACTCAGGCGGCGAGGTACCGGACAGGCTCCTATGAGTGTTTCTGAAAACCCGGGGACCAGACACTACTGCTGCTGCAGCAGCAGCCTGGTCTGTGGTGGTGGTGGGGGGGTAGAACTTTTAAATGTCTCTTGACAAGCGGTCTTAAGACCGCAGACCATGCTAGTTCAATCGGTCCTGAAGCTGCTTGTGAATCGAAGCATTTTGAAGTCAATGGAGAGTTCTGCGTCGGGGTATTCCGATCAATCTGTTGCAAGAGCCCTGCAGTGCTGGCATGACTCTCGTCTGATCCGTTTGTCAGCACGCGTGTACAGACACGAGTGTCCCTGCACTCTGTTCTCCAAGACAACGGGGGGGGGGG